GACGAGGGGAGCTAGCGTGGGAGCGAGGAAAGGGCACAGAACGAAGAAGAGGGAGGCAATTGCTCTTTCCCGGCCTGCGGGCCATACGTCAGCAATGGTTCCGGCGCCAACGGCGATACCGACGGAACCGGACAAGCCCGCTAGAAATCTGCATACCAGCAGAGTCGTAAAGTTTGGCGATGAAGCCGCGCCCGCAGTGAATGCGAGAAGACAGGTGTATGCGATTGTGTATATCCATCGTCGACCGTAGACTTCCGAGAGAGGAGCGAATATCAGAGGACCAATACCAAGGCCAACTGTGTAGAGGGTGATGTTCATGATTGCCGCCGTCCGACTAATAAGAAATTCGACCATCATTCCAGGCACCCCAGGTTCAGAAACGGAAGTGCCGAATGTCCTGACAGCGAATAGTGTTAACAACGTTGTTAGGATCGCTCGCTCTGAATCTTAACGTACACTAGAAACGCATATAAACAAGGTATTACAGTATGGAACAGCTTCTTTGCGGTGGACCAGCTCTGTGGAGCTTGTAGCGAGCCATGCTGCGATTGTACATGTAGCGGGCTGGCTGAAACTGGTACGTCGTCTGTTTCCTGTTTCATTGCGCTGTTGCTGCTTAAGCGGCTTATCTATCCACAGTCGCTGTCGATCCCGGTGAATGCGTATTAAAATCGAAGAGGGCACAGACCGCCCCTCTACCTTTGAGGGTTTGGCTCAAAATATTAATCTTAGAACGGTCTGAAGGCATTTATCAGCCTGCACTCGGAATCGGTGATTTTCAGTCTGTCGATGTTGGTCGTAGTTTCGGTCTACTGAGCCGGTTGAAACGGGGCAAATCCTACGGGAGAGCCAGTGAGCAACTCGCCAGGACTGTTGATCCGTTGTTGCACTGGAAGCTTCTGAACGTTGGGCAATTCACGGTGTCAACGACATCAGGCAGTGAATATATCTATGTTCAACATTCTTCAGTTCCGCAATGGATACTCTGACAATATCCTCAATGCACAAACTAGAATGCCCAGTTATCACTTCTACCATCTCCTTCGGCTAATGTCACGGATGGGAGCAATTTATGATGTATATATAGTAAGAGATTTCGCATCATCTTCATTCAGTCAAAATCTTATTCATCCACTCCCCAGGCAGCATTCCTGCATGTCCGTGCCCAGATATATTCAAATCATGAACGACCCACGAGCCTCGAGTTTGTGCGACAACGTGCTCATTCCTGTCCACGGTTTTGGCCTTGCCTACTTTGGATTCACGGCACTCAATCTGATTCTCAATGTCGCCCCCTTGCCGCTCCTTGAAGCGCAGAAGTCGCTGCCTGACACGCTGGCTGTCCTCTCCTTCCTTCTTTCGGCTATGGCTTTCTCATATTTCTGCCTGCGGCATCGATTTACCCCACGGTATTGGGTCGCACAACAGACAACAGTTATCACTTTGATTGCCGTTTCAACTGCTTCGTTTGTGTTCTTTCAGTATCGATTCGACACGTCGACTAGGTATTTTTATATGGCTGCTGTCTGGCTCACCCATGGGTCCTATATATCCAGCTTCCTGAAAAATGAGACCAGCTTCATCTCCGCTTGTCTACAGTGTGGATTCCTTGCTCTCGTCCCTGCCATCTACGCTACATCCAGAGCCTCCTCTTGTCAATTACCAATGGCATACAACTTCACGATTTATGCTGCTTCCAATGCTATCGGCGGCCTGATATATCTAATACGCCTTCCTGAGAGACTCGGAGCGCCTGTGTCCAGCTCCAAAGCTATCATGCATATTTCCGTTGTCGGTGCGGCAATAGTGTTATCCGAAAGGCTTTTAGCCGCGCACAATTCCAGCACCGTCTTTCAATCGGGAAGTGCAAAGGGCTGAAATGATGAGCGAAGGGTCTGCAATCCATCTTTTTCTATAATCCCGGATTGTCCGACTCATATCGAACTGGATGAATGACAATGCCCCATAGTGAGACCGACCCATTCCTGGCGACATGTAGAAGGACTGAGCATCTTTTATTGTTGGCGGACTAAGAAAATACAAGCATATAGTATGCCGAACTAGTTTCAAGTTCGAAATTGGCAAAAAATGTACCCTACGTTGTGAGCTATTGCTCGTATATGCGGTCTATGAAGAAGATCTATGAAGAAGATATGAGCCGTCCCTACCAAAACTCTTTGGCATTGTAGCATGCGCTAAGATTGCGCAGCCCACTAGATCGTGGACCAGAGCCCGTCTCTCTCAGAAGCCGACTGAGCTTGCCGCAGTTTACAAGTCTGGACGAACAGGCACGCAGTCGAGTTGCAGGTATGTATCCAAAGTGCACATCAACAGACGAATAACCGTCGCGATCTATACTGTACCCAGGATCTATGCCGTAAACTTCAGAGGCTGTCATTGCTAAACTGTGTGATAACAAGCACGAGCCGCAACACCTATACAGTACTTAATAATGAAGGAAATGCTGCACGCAAAGTATAGTATATGTAAAGAGCTTTTAGTTGACCAAATTGTTCGCTAGAGACATTCCAATAAAACAACCGCAATGTAATGGCTTAGGACTCTCGCTGTGACGGGAAATGTATACTAAGTATTTCATAGCGTGATTTCCCTGACACCGACTAGCTTCACTCCAATTGGAGAAATTCGAAAAGCAAGAGCATGTGCTTTTCGCTGACCCAGCAGTTCACGAGATATTTTGTGTCACCGTCTGTCTCTCTTTTCTCGATTACAGTTATCCCGCTAGCATCGCGTTGGTAGTCGCTCTACTTGCTTTAGATCGTATTTTGACCTCTGATCAAGACCGCCAAATCCACTCACAATGTCTTCATCTGAGTAATCTGAGCTATTGCCCTCATATTGGTCGTCTGCATCGCGGCATTCAGGCATTTGCGTCCAATCTTGCGACATGTTTGAGCTTGAGGACCAGAGACTCTTAACGAGTATCCGCTTGAAAGTGTCCTGACAGAGGATATCGTTGGTGTAGCCCTGAGCGGGAAACCTTCTTTATGTATAAGAGGTACGTAGTCAATATGGTCCATAAGGCAAGTCTCAAACGGTGTGGTCCTCTATTTTCATTGCGAAGGAACTAAATGCCTGTTGTCAACTTGGCCCTCATGCATCATCCCCAGAAGTATGAGTCCTCAGTTGTCCACAATTGCATTACGTGACGAAGCCTATACAATACCTCGAATCAATGGTGGACACCGCCTCTAAAAGATTTTATTTCGGATCACTACGGCTGGTAAACGCAGCATCACATTTTGTATGATTTAACTGTGGGGAGTGGAAGAGGCCACGGTGATAGAATCTAGCCGGAGGGGAAGTTGATAACCTGAACCCTTATATATAGTGCGTCCGCGCCATTTTCCCTTTCCTCCCTCGTTTATAAAGCCCTCTAATATGGAATCGAGGAATACATGGCTGCTAACGAGCCCAAGCCAGGACACAGGAAAGGAAAGACTGAGGAAAGTCTATGCTGCTTGTTTTTGTTAACCCTGTGTTTCTGAATATCTTTGCTAGACTAAATCAATCCAAACGTCTCTTTCCTCCTGCAGCTATTCGCTTCGTAACCACTCTAGAACTGCAATGCAACCACAGTACTGCACCATCGACATATTGTTTCCTAAATCAACATGCTGTACGTACGGAGATTGAATTTAATCTCGACATTCTCATATCCCCTAGATATGTTCCTGTATGCAACCAAGAAACTCAGCTAGATGCTGCTTGAAAGCATGGATGGCTGCAACATTCTTCTGGTTCTCGTCTTGTAACTGTCCCAGTTCTTGCTTTAGCGTCGTGATCTCGTCAGTCAATCCCCTGCATGATGCACGCAATTCTTCACAGTTCGAGAGAGCATCATTTTTCTCGTGTTCCAACCTCCGTATCGTAGCAGGAAAGCTGTGGTCCGAGGCGAAGATTTGAACCCCCTGAAGAAAGTTGTCAGAGCCTGCAGAGGAAAAGTTTCCTTGGTGCCCATACTTCATTTATAGGACTCTGTTGGAATTCTGACGGCACCGCCTCTATCTCCTTGTTAACCAATGCTTTCCGGATTCTACCGAATTTTCCCGAGCTTAGGTCGCTTAGATTGGCGTCGAAGAGCCCCTCTTGCTTGACACGCTCAGAGAGAAACCATCTGTATGGGTCGTCTTGACGAGGCTTTGTACGGACCTGGTCCGGAGAGATTGTAAGGCCCAGTTTTTCGCCTGAGAATGAACAAATTTGCTTAGTCTTAAGAGGTTGGCGAACCAAAAAGACATGGTGTGCGCTTCGACTCACTGATATGCTGGGCTAGCATTTCACGACAGTTGTTTCTCTCTCTCGTCCTTTTAAGGTTACTCGTGTTTCTGGGCGCACCCATTCTGCAGGTATGATATTAGGCCAACGACGTAAAATCGAGTTTGTGTGCCCAGGACTCACGCAAGAAATCTGGTCTTTGCATTTTTATGTTTGTTTTCTGTAATAAAGACACTGATCAGACCAGGATGCCTTGCGTATCAGTATCTCTGTCGGCCGTTGAACAGTCCAAAACTGACTTCTTCTGGACGGGATGGTGGCCTTGTTGCTCAACGTAGCATCAAGTAATAGTTTCGAATCCTAGTCGCTACATTTACTGTGTTTAACATAGGGTTCTTGGTGCCCTAAGAATCCGGACGGGTCTTACATTTACTGGAACGGTCAGCAAACGGCAACTGCGTCGACACCGGGTCCTTACAGCATAAACAAGAGTCAAGATTCTCGACTAGAAAGTACTTTCCCCATGCACACATCTGCTGAACAATTTGTGCACCAATGCTTTGTCGTTTGAATATGTTCAGCCGAGTTTACATGAACGTTCAAAGAGATATCCATCCAAAGTTGATCCATAGGCAATTTCGCCTTCTATAGAGACGAAGGATAAAAAGAGTGGTAAATGCCGGCTATGATTTGGAATAAATATGACGGAAACATAGGTCTTTCATTGTACTAGGAAATCGTAGCTACCACGCACACACAATATGCAAGCCAAAAAGACTTATTACGGCCAAGGAGACCGCACAGCACAGGAAAAGATTCGGAAGCGCCGACATAACTTGTTCAAACGGCTAAAGGAATTCAATGACCGGTATGAGATAGAGATCTGGTTGACAATGAGGATGCCGAGTGGGAGAATATACATATTTGCGACTGATCCGAACCAGCCCGTCCCCTCTGAAGAGGAGATTGTGCGTTTGTACTAATACTCCGACAAGTTCAGCAGCTAACCCTGGAACAGCGAGAACATAAGGTTCCCGTTGTTCACAAAACACCCGCGGATTATAGCTCTACAGTTAGAGCGGAAACTCGGCTCAAGGAGCCTCCAGCTCTGCCTTTCCTCAACTTACCATTTAAGACCGCAGACGATCACTGCGAGGAATCATCGCCAGACGACTGTCTCCCGGGGTCCAGCACTTCTCAGCTAGGGGATTGATGAGGGACTTATGTTCTCGGGTGCCCCTTGAATAAGCACACGCATATCATGAGATCATGAAAATCATGAACGGTTTTGATGTCTGTCGTGCCGGGAAGAGTTACTGTACTGTAGCGCAGCACTTAGTGATACCGTATGTGAGCATTTGAAAGCATGGGCAATACAATACTGTACTGTACCGCTTGTACGTCAAAACCGCATTTCCGGGGTCTAACAATGCACAGCCATCCGTCTATGGGACGTCAGAAGTTCGCAAGCTCCGCAGGCCCGCAGATTTCCACGTGCTTTAGAAGCACAAATTGTATGTACATGCCCCCGAAATTTAGTTTATCCCAGTTTGAATGGTTTTGTAACAGTATTCTGAATAAACGGCATAGGGTATATTCTAACAGTATTCTGAATAAACGGCATAGGGTATATTCAGTACATGTACATAAGAGGCATTCTGCTGTGATAATGGGTCTCCAAAAAATCCATCTGCCAAATAATGGGGAAGCCCTCAAGTTGGAAAGAAGGGTGACAGAGATGAGCTTATAATATGATGCCTTCGGGTTACAGCCAGCGTCAACTGGTCGTTCACAACAAGTTATAATAATTAGGGCGATCCATAGAGTTCAGCATATGCTGCCATTTACTGGCGTTGCTTCGGTGCCCTTGAGTGCTTGGTACATACAAGAATGCAGAGATATATCCCTAGCGACACTTGCTGACTGACTGAATTACAGTATCCTCCAAGGACCGCTTGCCATCTCGAGATTCTGAACATGTCCGTTGAAAGCAGAGAAAGTCCTTTCTCGGAGAGACAGCAAACTCAACCCGAGATTATCGTCAAAATCTATCTATTCATTTTTTTCCTGCTCATGGATAGGAAGACTTCGGCAGAACAGATACGGAGACTTTCGTTCACGGAGCTGGAGAGAAACAACTCCATCATCAAACCAACAGCACAGACTACACTGGGCACCCTAGACAGAAAAGTTGGAAGAGGGCCCATAATGTTCAGCCGGGAATTCGATCTTTCATATCCTATGTCCGGCTACTCTTCCATAGGTCTCATCGAGAAACTCTCTTCCGAAGCACTCAAAGCCTTAAAGAAGGAATTGGCGCTTCATGGAGAGGGAAATGGACAGCGAATACGGACACTGAGCAGCGTTACTATAGCGAATGGCATTGCGATATGGAGAAATGATCGAGTTAGACATCTTTTGTTGCTTCTTGCTAACCATTACTGTCGCGGCTCGTTCAGTGGAAGCAACACGACACGGACGACGTGGAGAAGAAGGGCCTACAGGGGTTTCTCCGCAGTTGCACTACGCTTCCTAAGAAGGAGTGGTAGAGGCAGGCAGGTGCTCCATAGTGTCAGAAAGACACGAAACTTCGCGGGCCAGATACTGTCCCTGCCTATTGTGCACCGGGAAATCCTCGCCCTTGTCTCGGCAAACCTCAAGACTGACCTGGGTCTCGTGATCCATCAAAGCCGCTGGAGCTATAGTTGCGCTAGGGCCGTTTGGTCGGGATCGAGAATGGAGGAACCAAAAGGTGATGGAGTGGACAAATAACTGCACCAAGCTAGTGAAGCTCCCAGCTACGTATACATCAGCTGAATCTGCATTACCTCATATTGTACAACAGGGAGTCCCTTCGTCCGCTCAGCTTGGCTTGGAGCAGATTGTTGGCCGGCCACCTAATTATTGATTGTGCGATGAATACTCATCTACCTGTGACTCCAGTTTTCAATAACCCCGCGACCAGAACAATATTAGCTTGAGAAGCAGGAAGGGTGACCATCATTTGCAGTCGATAAGATTGTGGATCAACAAAAGTTCTTGACGTAATGAAAAATCAGATAACAAGCCATCATATGTTCGTTCTCTCTCCACAGTTCTGTCGATGCTGATGATGACTCAAATCCATGTCTCACATTGCTCTATATCATGCGGTATTTTCCAGTATCTCGTAAAGTCCCTCTGGGCTTGCGCTTCTTGCACCCGTGACATCCTCACAGCCTTGTCGAGCTCTTGGACAGTATCGTATAGGTGTTGGTTTCCTTGCGGGGATGACTTCGGCTCAACAGGAACCAGACTTGGTTTGAAGAGCACTGACCCTGGTTCAACAAGCAGTGACTCTAGTTCAAATAGTAATCTATTCTGGTCGAAATCACACATGAGCTGTTTGCGCGCGTAGTCAACCTTCCGGTAAAGGTCTCTGTACAGATCGTAACAAGTCCCATAGAACTGATTCTCTCGTAGATGGGACTCTAGTTCACTCTCGTGGTCCTTCCGACGGCCTTGTGGTGATCCTGCCTCAAGTGATTTCGCCTCACGCAGGGGCGATCGCATCGTGTCTAGGGCGATGGTTGAACCATTAAATGTCCGAATTAGGTGATCTAACTGATTGACTTCAGGCCGTCTCGGAAGGAATGACGAACGTTTATCGATGCTATAAGCCTCACGTGAATGCGGTTGTGTTTGATCCGATACTAAGAGACTGTCAAATCTTGAGTAAACACTAGAGCGGCTGTCGGCTTGAGAGATTGACGAGCTGTCCAAAACATCGTCAAATCTTGAGTAAACACTGGACCTGCTGTTGTCTTGAGAGATTGGAGAGCTGCTAAGTATACCGTCCATGGCCATGCATCTCTAGGATGATTGATGAATTCATGCCGATTGCTTAAATAGATTGCTCCAACTTCGTCGTCAACAATGACCAGATACCAGGGAGATGGGAAAAGACTTGTCCTCCTGATAAAGCAGGGCGGAAATGGATATGAAAGACTACACTTGCTTCCGGGCCTTTAATCCTCTCTTTGGTCGAGCTTACTCTTCGCAACTACAAATTCAGTTGCACTTATATTCAGTAGCGTTCGTACTGTACAAACTCGGCTCTCATTTTATCGTCCTCCTCACCCTCCCAGCCTCTTGCAATTGGAATGAGACTCGGTCAGTTAAAAAGTTATGCCTAGGATACTTATGAAAGGGCCAATTAACTGAGAAGAAAACAAATCGGAAACCATGTGAGTTAGTCATGGAACCCACTGCCCAGTCAAGGAAAGTTTAGAAGCGTAGAAATCTACATAGGGTTGTACTGTACCTACAATGAGCTCAACCAAACGATGCTTACGGAGACTATCGAATTTCAATTATGCACAAAGGAAACTTAACTAGTTCGTTAGTTTCACAGTTGGTGAGTCAATCGACTATCGCCACTGTGTTAGCTGATGGCTGAGCAGAAATTGGCGTGGCGTGGAATAGCACTGACGTATCAAGCTGGCATGGAATTTGCGTCCGAGAGAAAAAGCACTTCGTGGAAGATAGTCGCGACAATGCGCAAAAACCAAGGGATGATCGAGGTTGAAGGGAAGGAAACCATCAAGGATGAACTTGAGAGAGCAGCCTAATTTCGGCCAGAATTTTAGATGTATTTTCGAGGCCACTTGCTGTCTCACAACGAGCGCAGTTACCGCGTGCCAAGTGCCCAGGTCGGAGCTGAGTACTTTAGAGTATCTCGGGAGGTTGGATCACCTGGGCAGTTTGGATAGGTGGGACTAATGTACATTGGCATATGCGGTATGGTTTCAATGAGTGGAGCCTAATTGAGGGAATGTGAAATGAGAGCCATCATTCAAAGGCTGGATCAGGGTTGGTATAACGCCACCAGTTCTGCCTCTTTCTATAATCCTGCTATGGAACGTCTAGATTCTTGGCTCGCTTGTGAACCCTTTAACCAACCGCCCGCGCCTACTTTATTGGGGAAGGATGTTTGGGTCCAGCAGACAGATAATGGAACTAGAGTAACCGTTGCCAAGCAATGTGCACTAGTGCCTCGGCATCGTTTCAATCGTGGGATGTGTCAGGGGTTCTGGGACTGGGCACAGTCCGGTCGAGCGACAGTGTTCTCGTGGGATAGGTCTCATTGATTTGATCACGCCTAGGGAATGTCGATGGATTGTGCCTAAGCAATGCGAGTACTATGAGTAGATTGCCCGCATAAAGGTTAATACAGCGTTACTGATCCTCTTAGCGTTTAACATACGGGGAAGCTCATGTGACACGGCGGCACGCGGGATTCCTCCCGAGGGACAGGGATCAACAACGACTATTGGATTGCTCTTGGAAATCCTTTGGGACCCTGGTGCAGGGCTTCCCGGTAGTGCAGTGGGTCCATGGGATAGAGTCATTTGCGACGAAATGAAAACGAGTGGCGAAAATAGCGCCATGAAAATGTCTCAGACTACGCGTCATTGCAGGTCAAGATGACCATTAGTAGCCCGCTTAGAATGGACACAAATGGCGCTCTTCGTCGGTTCCAGTTGTCCTAAATGGGGAGGAACTCTTATTCAGGAGGGAGAACTTGAGAAAAGACCTCACTGTCATGGAAATGGTAAGTTTTTCTCCTTAACGATCTCAAAGGACCTCCATTACCCATTAATCCAGCTACCAAATGACGCACTATGAGCACTGGTACAGTAGTCCCATTACACATCCACCGACCCACACTGCCCAGGCGATGGCGAGTTTCTCCCGTTAATGATCTCCCGGGCCTCCGCCGCCCATTGATTTAGCTTCCTCACATGATCCCACACCTGCTTCAGGTAACTGTCCCGTGCGCTGGCGGCGATGATCAGCCGTTGGGTCGTCTTCGCTGCGGACGCGTCTGGCCATACCTGTTCTGTTCCCGGATTTCCTTCAGTTGGCCCTGTATGTCCGTGATCTGTGCCGCGATTTGATCGGTCTCCTTTCTCTGTCTGTATGAGGGTAAGAGATGAGCCCGTTGGACACCACCCATGGAAATGCTAGCTAAGCCTTAAACTGGCCCCTTGGGTTCCGTACATACCGCTCAAGGCACGTCCTTGAGTTGTTATTGGATGGTCAGTCCAATGTCTTCCTAATTAGTCAAAGGGAAGTCCCAGGGGCCTTTTACCTGGTGGTCGCGAGTGTTCTCCATTCCTGTTAGCACTGGTTAGCATCTCAGAGACTTACTCTTAGAGGGATCTGCAGGGCACCTTACTCCGCAAGTTTGAGAGCTAGTTAGCTGCCTTCCAGTCAGACTTACCAGGGGTATGGAAATTCTCGCGACTTGCTTACTGGATCTCCTCCCTGTAGCTGGGAGATTGTTAGTAGTAAGGCACGCCACACTGTTGAACGGGGGGTGACTCACGTGAAAGCGTCCTTAGTTTGGTTGATGCCTGATGGATCATCAGACTGAAATGAAGGCGTGCGACCTCCGGCTGACGAGGGCGAGTTTTGCCGTGGGGCGAGCTTGCTGCCTTCTTTGCTGCTAGAGTTACCATCTGAATGGTCCTAATGAGGGGCCGCATTCACAAAGTCCGTGATATACTCGACCCACCGGCGGGAAATACGGTCAGACATGGCTTCGTAGCGTCCCTCGGACAGACACCGTAGGATCCGTATAGATTAGGAAGGCGTCATAAACGATGTGATACTATACTTTGGAGCCTAGGGTGATGGGAGTGATGCCTCACTCGCAGGACTGTTACTAGGAGGGCCAGGGATACAGTGCGAAAAAATGCGAAAGTAGAATTATACAGGAACCTTAAAAACCTACGCTGGGGTCCAACTCCAGGCTTCCTAGGTGTCCATCGTCCATCATGAAGCTCATCCATCCCTCCGTAGGCATGTCAGCGCCTTAAGGCAGCTGGCTGGCTTGAGGAGCATAGATATCACCCGGCACCGGCGCAATGTTCTGTTCAACCGGCGGCTGCTCTGGCAGCTGCGGCAGCTGTGGCATGGCTGACAGGACGCCGCTTGCTCCAGGAGGCCCAGTGGGAAGATGTCTGGATCCGGCAGGGGGAGGAAGCTGCTCCACTAACATTTGCAGACAGCCAGCAATTCTGTCCCAGGTTGCTGGCGGCACCAAAGGCGCCATTGAATGCGCTGGCGGACGGTTGGACACAGCGCCAGTTTAAGACGGTGGTATAGAGGCTTAAAGGTTGGGCATCGGAGCAGGCGGAGGCCCCGTTAATGGTTCAGCTGATGGAACTGCGGGCAAAGCAGTTGGATTTGGCTGCACTGTGGTGTTCATCTGCCTGCTCAGACCAGTCGCTGTAGATGAGCTACTGAATAGGATGATGCGTGCGACGGAACTTTGCACGCCCCGCGTTGAAGAGCGTCCAGTGGTGTTGCTTTGAAGGTTGCTGGTGGGGAGTGTTTCTGCCCCCATCTCCACTATACCAGCATCTTTCCCATGAAGCCTTGTGTGCCTCTCCATGTTCTCCTTCTCCAGTCTCCCTCTTCCGCCTGGGTTCTCTATTTATACATCCGAAGATGCCGGCCGCTTAACAGATGTCCTGGTTGGAGCAATAGGGGCTGGTATTCCTTTGCTCTGTGTCGCAGAGGCTCTGTGTAGCGGCATAGCACTCTCAAAAATATTCTCCTTGGTGACCAGTCGAAACAGCTTCAGATCTGAGTGCCAGTGCTCTTGTAGTTCCCAGAGGATTCTTCCAGCATATTTGGGTGGTATGTGCTCTAGTATAAGTTTAAACCCAGTGACAAGATCTATGAAAAGTTCAGTAAAATGAGCCACTACCTCTACTACCTCTGGTGTCTGCCGATCCCTGCTGGGCGCTAGTTATTCAAGCTGTCATCTGTCAGCGGGACTTTTTGAGCAAGGCAAGGAAGGGTTGCCCACCACAGCTCTAAAGTTGGCTTTGGCCGCATGGCCCTTAAGAGTCTCTTGCGCTGCGTCGTCATCTGGTTCTGAGACTTCGTCCAGCGCCCTGGCCCGTGAGCAGTTACCTTCATCAGAATAATCTGAATCATCACTCTGGCGCAAGGATTGGCGGTCTGGTTGATGGTGAGAGGGGATATGGTGCTTAGTAGGCATCACAGGAGCACAAGACTTGGTGGCAATGATTAGGCGTGACTAAGCTTGACAAAGGAGGTAGCCACAGAGAAACGAAACAAAAAGCCTGTTTACTATTAGTATATAATGCACTAAAGGATAAAGGAAGAAAAAACACAGAGGAAGTAAGCCTCCTCTCTACCGCAGTAAACTGCTCTGGTTTGCCAGGGGAAATTAAATGGTGAATACAGATAAATATACACGCAGCCCTTAATATAGTAGTGTCTGAGCAGAGCTAGCCTATTTTTATTTATAAACCTATACCTAACACCACTACCGCTCCACTTGCCTCCGGCTGGTATTTTCATTGAATAGAGTTACCTCCCTCTGGTTGAGCCAACCGATGTTATCTATGGCCAGGAGTCAGGGACGGCGCTACATATAAGGGCGATGCGCGCGTGCCTGATCCCCCTCAAACAATTGCGGGCGGTTCGAATTCGTGGGCTGGCCCTCTAGCGTTCAGCCAGTGCACAGGCCTAATAATACCATAGGGCCCAGGGTGCAGGCCTTGGCTCACTTAGCTCTGCACTAGCTTTGTGTTGACCATAACCCCCTAGCTCATCCTCCCTCTCCAACCCAAGTCCAAGTCGGCTGATTTCGCGGAGTGATTCTGTAGAACAGGTTGAACTATTATTTATTCTGCAGCGCGGGGGTTAAATGGGTCTGCTGCACAGGTAGAACCACTTGCTCCCGAAGAGCCAACTACTAAGAGGATGGCTGAACATGGCTGGATGACCCAGTGAGGGACATAAGAAATCGACCTGCTCCTCTCCTCCCCTCATGCTGCCTGCCTTTCTTGTTCCTCCCTGCTTATTTATATACTGAAGAGAGCAATTTATAATTAAAACTGAGCATATTCACAGTGCTCTCTTAGACTGCCAAAGCAAGCCCCTCTGTTCACTGGGGCTTTCAACCAAGCTGGAGTAACATTATGCAGCCATGCCGCGCGTGGAGACCTGGGTGAAATATGAGGAAGCCGAGCTGGCCCAGATCATAGACCAGAGAAAGAGGAAGGTCCTGTGGACTGAAATTGAGCGCTGGTGGAGGAAAAATGTCAGAACCGCTCAAGGGGCATAAGCTATACACTCCAAAATGGAGCGCTAGCAACTGAAATAGAAGATAAAGGAGCTGAGTGTACTTCAGTCCATCCATTAAGCAGAAGGTGCCACACCCATGCCGTGCAGGGTGGAGGCAGGACTTGGCAAAGATAAAGTTCTTGGGGTCCGCAGCCCAAGCCTTGTCAGCAAGCTGTATAGAAAGGCAAAGCATCTAAGGCAGCGGTCCGAATGGAGTGTGCCCTTAAGTCCTGAACTGATGGCCATTATCAAGGGCCCTTTGAAGAGCCTTCTGCAAGAGTCAGACTGGCCTGTTGAGCAGGCAGGCTGCACTTAGCTGCCGTGGATCAAAATCTCAGCGCTGACGACATCTATCTTGGCTAGGAATAATGATGCGAGCCTTTGAGAATTAGTTAAATAGCTGATCTCCCCTGTTAAGCCTCCGTCGACTTTAAAGAGCCTCCGCTGAGAGCTAAATAAAGGGCGCTCTTAGTTGTCGGCGATTGGAATCCCTGCGCCCTCCACGCCTATCATGTCTGGTGGAAAGGTCTTAAATCTGGGAGAGTCAGTCTAACAGGCGACCGAGAAGCTAAAGAAGGAATCCAGGAACGATGATGATGGGGTAATAAAGTCCTGCGTCACTTACCTTCATCAGTCAGAATTATCTTCTGTCTGTAATACTGTATCCACTGACAAACTGATTAGTAACAAGGAAACTGCCCTGGCCAGATTTCCGCCTCTTAATATAATTGTGCTCCCACATCGGCCATAGAGATAATTGAATGGCCTGGCCAGACCAATCTACAGCTAGCCCTGAGAAGCCAGTTGTTGATTATTTCAGGACGGGCCGCCATGCACGCACTACCTTGGGCCACAACCGACCGCTAGGTGATTATTGTTCAATTAGACGTCCTTGTCGCACATCATCCCTGCCCCTGGCACCCCCTTCCCTTCTGCACACCCTCCAAACTATAGTGCCACATGCCGTCCATGTATAATAGTTGTATATACTTTAGCGATGGAGTTGTGGCTCATCTGTTCTGTTCTTTGTATCACTCCTTTTACCTCTTTCTTTTTTTTGTCTTCCTCTGTCCCTGATTAGAGAAATTAGGGCCCACCCTCAGTCCACCACTCTTTCCCGCTGACATTGTTAGCTCAAGTAAAATATGCCCCCTGTATATAGAGCTTTATAGAAATAGTTTTGTTTGGCCCTTCTTTCTGCAATAGTCATCAATCCAGAAAGTGCTTACTATTAGTTCTAGGAGGATGGGAACAGTAGGTCCCTGCTGTATTTAGGCACCCTCCCTAATGCATCCCATGGGAAGCAGCAAAGGACCGCATTTAGGCCGGGCAGCTACACTATGTGGGCTGTTTATCCAGAACAGCATTGCATGAGGGCACAAGAATTTCTTGGTGGAGAGCTCTTCCTAGCCACCTTTATAGACCTAGTTCACCGCAAAGCCAGCATGCGCTGAACAAACAGAAACCCAGAGGATAACTGGACATCGCTTCCAGACAAGTAAGTGCAGGTAAGATCCATGTCTTATACGCCCCGATGTGCTTATAGATGCTGGCCTGGTTGGGATTAGAGTTAGAAGCAGGGGGCTGGGCCGTCACTGATAATGGCAGCATGGCGTGACTGCTCGCGGAGATGGAGCATCCTCAAAATCAGTATCTATTAATTCACCTCTTTATTAGGAGGACGACCAAGGCCCAGGCGCTCCGGTCACTATATCCCTATAACAACACCGGCCGACAGTGCAGACTGGGCTTTGCCCGGCTGCATTATGCCCCAGTCACCCACCCCCATACGGTGATCTTCATTGACGGCAGTCTTTCGCGGCTAATGGCCAAGTCTTGTTCAGGGGCCCTGCTTCGCCGCTACTATATCCAGAACAGCACCAGCTGGCCCTACCAGGAGATCCAAGGTCTGCTCTACCGCTGCCTTCTCCTCCCTCGCACTGATACCTGGACGCTCTTTGTGGATGACGTCGGCAGCATCTCTTAAGTTAAGAACCTCTTCGCTGCATGGAGCGCAGCGCTGTCCTGTGATAGTCTTGAACCAACTCCCATTGCGCGGCTGCGGCTTATTATGGTCTTGACCGATCCGCAAGTTGTGGCCGATCACTCGGAGACTGTGGAGAGCACCCTGCGAGCGGTCGCTGTCCCAAGCCTGGTTGCCTCTGTGCGCGTGCTGGACTTGTGTGACCGCGTGCCCTTATCCCTGGTGAGTTATTTTAAGCCGCTGCGGTGACTGCTCTTACAGGAACTGGATAAGGTGTACCTTGCACGGCGTGAGGCCCATAAGCTCTTCTCTGCTATTTACCTTAACTGGATTTGGCGCAAGTCACTGCTTCACGTCGCCCAAACACCTACGGTCCTGTTTAACTGCATCTGAGCATGCCAACCTGATCAGCCCCCTGAAGACCAGGCCTTATAGTATCTGCAGCTCTTCTTAGATACCGCTGAATGTGCCGGGGTGGCTCCCGAAACTATAATTAGTAATGTCGCGTTAGCTTTGCTCATGGATGCCTACCCACTGGGCATGCATGGTGAGCTGCATAGGATGAAGCTAAGGCGCTCATCAACTGCTTGTTTCCTCATTCTTGCCCCTTTATTTGTTTCTTCCCCTTCCATTTCTTTCTTGTTTTATCTTCCTGTCAGATAGTAGGGCATTGAGTATTGACGAACCCAGGATTTAAGCCTAGGGCAACGTTCCGAACCCTCTATGCTGCAGACTGCGCTGCAGCTTGCTCTACATCTGAGTCCTTGTCTGCAAGCACCTTCAGTCCCCTTGTGGAGGCTGGGTTTGTGTTACTCTTTTAAGCCCTCTCTGCCAGCGTCACTACAGCTCGGATCTGATAAACCATCCTGCGCGAGAATGCCCCGTTCTGGTCCGGTGTGCATTCCACTCATGTCTGTCTGTTTTGCCTATGTTGAGCCCCGGAGCATATCCTGCCCTGCAAGCATGCCATATGCGATGTCTGTGTGCAGATCTTTGGCGTCCGCAGTCAGGGAGCTGAGTATTACTTTAAGCTGCGCTCGTGCCCGCTGTGCCTAGCACATTTTTCGTGCATTGTCTGGGTGCTGCCCCCCACGAAACAGCTGACCATTCTCGCCCTTGACGGCGGTGGCGTTCGCGGCGTTGTTACCTTGGGATTCCTCGTGGCCCTTGAGGAGTGCATTGGCGGCTCCCAAGGACTTCGCGAGGCCTTTGACCTGAATATAGGAACTAGCGTCAGTAAGAGGTTCTTGTTGCATGTAATTTGAGGCCTGGCTGGTAACCAATTCCTTTGCCGCAGGCGCGGTAATTGTGTCTGAGATCATCGACCTTGGAAGGCCTGCAGCTGTGGCCTATGCTAAGTTTAGGGCTCTTGCACAGCAGATCTTCCAACCTTGGCCCCTGCAGCAGACGATCCTGGCGCAGACGTGGGACTTTCTGACCACCTGGATGTCTAACAGCTGCCATGACTTCAATACCCTTGATAAGGCACTGCAGCAGGCCTTTAATCCCGCACGCCGGTTGTTCAGCCCCGCCGCCCTGCTTGTCTCTGGCATCTGTGTGGCTCTGGCCGCTAGTCAGGTCAATAATAATGGCTTGCTTGGCCTCTTCTGCAACTATCATGGTGCTGGCTGTGCCTGGATGTAATCTGCATATAAGCTCTTCCTACTGGAAGAGCGGGAGCCACTCCTATGGGAGGTGTATGTGCCCCCATTGGTCGCCTGCTGTTATTTCCTGTTATTATGCTTCTGCCTCATTCCTTCCTCCACTGTTGTCATCCTCCTGTGTTTGCCTTTTATCCCTTCTTTATCTGAGCGTCATGCGTTGAGTACCTGTGCTTCTCCCTGTTGATTCATCCTTTGTCGGACTACTGTTTGGGCCACTCACCTTTGTTCCCCTTGTACTACAGCTTCTAGTGAATGTGCTAACCTCATCCACTGCGTAATCCAGGGCGAGGTGCAGCATGGCCGCCTTGGGGTACATATCTGCTTGCTCCAGATGTCAGTGAGACTGATTGGAGCAGGTATTTCACGCCCAAGTATCTCCCCAGAATCGGCACTTTTCAGGACGGCGGCGTCAGGGCTAACTGTCCCCTGCGGACCGCCCTTCATGAGAGTGAGATTATCTGGCCTGCCTGTAAACAGCTGGACCTTGTCATTAGTATTGGGACTGGCTATGCCGTTGACGAAGCACCCCGGACAGCAGAGCCGGGCCGTCACTGGCTGTGTGACGGGTTCATTGACCGCGCCCTCCAGACGTTTCTCCACTCCCCGGCTGTTGATGATTAGCGAGGGTGGCAGGACGCACTGGACACTGTGCCTGCCGGCGTCAAAGGGAGCATATACTGACTGGACCAGTAGATTCCCGGAAAAGCCCCTGAGCTTGACGACATCCGCGCCCTTGATTCGCTCCAGGAATTTGCGTACATAGTGCCTAACAAGCTCATCCAAGCCTGGCTGGCCAAGACATTCTTCTTCGAGCTCGACGGAGAACTTGAGAAAATTAATGAGTCTTACCGCTGCCACGGGTCCATCCTCTACTATAAATTTGATGCCCCCGGCATTATCTGCCAGATGGAACTGGAGTACACCAGTACTTGCTTTCAGCTGTGGCAGGGCTGCGACCTGGGTGTTATAAATGAACACAATAGATGCTTTGTGTGTGGCTATTACTGGAAGTGCATTTCCTTCCCTGTGGTCAGCATCCATGAGATAATCTGATTAGGCCTCAGTGGTATGATGGGCTTCTGCACCATTAGAGGGTTTCCAGCCTCTGTCAAGGAGCTCATGGAGGCACAGCAGGTCGACAGTCCATTCAGGCGGTTGGATTATCGCACTGATCAGTGGCCACCATCGCGACGGTGTTATTGCCTGTCATGGAAGCGCCCGCATCCACCTGAGGGAGAACTGATGCCTAAATAACGGCGGCTCCGCCGCAGCGGTGCATGAGGCGTATGGGGTTTAAAATCAAATAGAAGAGGCAGCGGAGGAATGAGCAGTTCTCTGGAGTGGCAGAGTGGATGATGTCCAGTGTAAACCCCAGAGGACAAGAATAAGAAAAGAGAGGGGAGTTTTGTAGGTTGCAATGGGGGAAAAGAAATGGACAGTGGGGGGCACTAGAGTTATCTAGTCGGGAGAGGCCACGCCATAAAACAATGGCCTAGCGATCAGCAGACGGCTGTGTGAATTAAAACCATTGGACCTATAGACGGGATCAGCCTAGTGCAGTGCTAGAACCGGGTCTGCAGCCAGCGCCCATACCCTTGTCTGTTTAACTTTGGGCACAAACAGGAAGGTGGGCCTCCTATTAGCACAGAAGAGTATCTAGTCCCTGCTGCCTACCCCCCTATCATCTAATAATGACAGAGAGGGGCTAGAGAAAGAATTCTCTGAACTAGCCTGGAATGAGAGAGGAGCGGGGTTGCAGTATAGTATCTAAAAGCCTACTCTTTAAGTAGCTGCTCCCCCAAAACTTAGATTTAATCTTATTCTATAGTTTCCAGTCGCTTGCACTTTTGTATTCTTTTAATATAAATATTATGGCTATCTAATCTGTGCGATCCAGAGAGTCAGGAGGGAATCTTTAGAGACAGGCACTAAGCAACTTCAGGACTGGTTTAAATGATGATAGATTAGGTAGCGGCTCCAAAAAATGATATTCTACTATTAACTATTGTACGCTGCGACAAGCTATGATTTTTAGTCATAGATACCATACTAGGAAACCTTTTTGTCCCTGTTGTAGTCTCTTTAGAGCCGGCCTTGTAGTTATGGTGCTGGTCAGTGGTGAACAACTCTGTTTGAATGAGCATATATATATATAGAATCGTCAACCTACCAGGCTACGACCCTCGCAGTAATTATTCTCCTTCTGTGTTGTTGGCCACAGTGACAGTTAATACTTAACTAAAGGAAATCCAGCTTACTCTCTGATTTATCTCGCCTGTGTTAGTAAAGACAGGCTAACCAGATATAGAGATGGTTTTCTCTAGGTATTGCCGATGGACCACCCTCGCTGCTTCTCACTGTGGCTCCCCATTGAGAGTCAATATCTAGCGGAAGCTTAATTGTACAGGAGATACAAATTCAAAACATAGCAACCCCATGTCTGATGGATACTCCACTATTTCCAGCTTAAGGGGTATCCTGATCTCCTAAGAAACAATTAATGTGTTGGGGATAGCCAAAAGGCATCACCTGAGCATATTCAGGGATATGGCGCTGTGCACTAAAGGGCAGGACATAAGGAATGAAGTACTGGCACCTCTCAGCACCTCTCACAACCTCAGCACCTCTTAATAACTCTCTAGGAACTCCAAGCACATTAAGTACAAGAACTAAATTAAGGGTAGCGCAAAGTGCATGGTGGTATAATTTACTTTCTGCTTGCACCAACAACTAATAGGGTACATATATATACTTCTGAATGCCCTCATATATGTCAGGGGGATTAAGTGGGTGTGGAGTTATAGAAACTGTTCATGAGCAACATCTTTATTATAGCTATTTTGATTGAAAGAAATAGATATACAGATAATGCCATTAATTTCTCCAGGCAAATTTAATTGCTTCAAACCTCGAATCTCATCCAGTAAGCTTTTTCTCTAATATTTGCTGGCATTTTTTTTATTTTCACTCTGATCTGAAAAACCTATGAATTGGATGTGAACTATAGAAGAAAGTCTCATCATCGCCTTGCCCATAGAGCTATAGATATTGCTCTAGATTTGTGCTAAAGACTCTCTTAGTAAGTATGCTCCTATTTCTCAAGAGAGTGATACCATGGAGGAGGAAACTAAAGGCATTGAAAAGCACTGCCAGGAGACCTACTTAAGACTGAAAGAAATACAGAACTGCTAGCTCACCAATCAAGCATTAGGAAGAAATTACTAGAAATGAACTATGTCTGCAGGCGTCATGCACAAACTTGGTAATGCCACTGATCATCATTACAGACGTGGATGGGAAGCAGGCTAAGCCGGATCTGTAGTGACTATGGCTTATGAATCTGCTTAAGGTGCAAGCGCCTCACTGTGTGTCTAATTCCTCTCAACTTAAAGTACTCCTTTATGCCTATGTCTGCTGGCAGATTTGGGAACCCATTACAGAAAAGGAGATTAAGACTGTTCTTTGGTTGCGCAGTGTGTTATTGCTAGTGCAGCACTATATTACAGGACAGCCCTGGATTATCCCGCAAGAGGCATGATATTCCAGAATTGCTCTTTTTATGCTGCGTAGACAGTATAATGCTTGTTCACCCAGCAAAAGTCCTTACCCAGGGCTACTGTATCTGTGGTAGTGGCGACTATAACTTTGCTGGCAATTGAGAGATGTTACCACATGAGTTGCTTACCTACATGATGCTGGCTGCATCTAAGAACGGACAGGGTGCCCACAAGGGAAGGCATGCGCTGTCTTTTTTCTTGCTTTATTTATGTTTACTATGCCATTTCCCCCTTACTACTGGCCTCTTCCTAGTATTACCCTAGATACTGAAGTGTGACCCTGAGATTAACCTTCTGTAAGAATTTGTTATAGATCTATGTATACCATTATAGTTTGATGAATTTTTTAATGCTTTGAGGTGCAACTTGTTCAGTCATGCAGCTTGTGTTTGTTATTGATTGTAACTAAATAAATGTTTTGGAAACATAATTCTAGAATATAGAGAAGTAAGTCAAAGAGGTCCAAATCGTCGTGGGAAAATAAGGCTGCACTAGTCAGCACACCCCGCCTCCTGAATGATGGTAGCTCAACCTAGTTACACAGTTCAACCCTGAAGAGACAGTCAAACACATGCTGTGCGGTTCAACATGTTGATCCACGCCCGCAGCATTATTTAACCGTGATGGACACCCAAAAGTCCCTACCACCTTCCAGGACAAAACTGCGCGCTTTGCTGTTCGTGTCATTACAGCTTAGGCTTGGCCTATTAGCCTATCTAGCGCCAGCCTGCTGATGCCCTCAGGATGATTAGATGAAGATCACAAGCATGGTTCAACACAAGTATAATGCCTCGTCCTATTTTCCCTGAAAATTGGGGAAACAGTCTCCAGTTGGCTGGCAGCCCCTCTTGGCATTCATTGGAGCTCTTAAAATTGACAATCACGAACCAACAGCCACATTGAACCAGTTGAACCAGTTGAACCAGTTGAACCAGTTGAACCATGATAAAGCGGCATGTTTAATATGTTAAACTCTGAACCATCAAGACTTTCCAATCATGATGAACACTCACGCAGCTCTTAAGGCTCAGGGTCGCCTGTAGTACAACTAAAAAGTATAGGCCACCGCCTGCGTAGCTCAACTGTGATAGATTATTAAAGGTATTTGGCATGGTTCAACACTTTGAAATCAAAACATCAGTTGGCATTGTTCAACCATGATGAATACTCCTCCTAGTCTTAAAGGTCCAGCGTGTCTATATTTGACTAAGGTAATACTGGTTAACTTGCTGAAAGTATGGAAGCTTAAGGGTAAAAAGAAAACCAACAAGTTCAGAGCAAGCACATGCGTCGTCCAGTATCCTCTATCTTAGGAGGAGTCAATCTAGCACAGGTTCTTTATGAGAATTTGTCACGGAACGCTCTGAGGTGTCTTGCTATGGATGAGCAATGTTGCTGATGATCATGGAGAAAAGCATTACTTAGTGTTTTAACTAGTCGCTAATGTGGATTACATGTTGTGGTTGAGCTTGTTGAACTAGGTGGGCGCTACTACCTAGTGAAGGTTTAGCATGCTGGTACTAGGTTCCAAAGCGATGATCAACTCTTGAATATAGTGCGACTGACTTATTTGTAAAATAGAAAGCCATGCACTCTTGGCCCTGTTGAATAACTTTCTGATGTCTGATCCACAGTAGTGGCAAGCGATTTATTTTCCAGTGAGGGGACTTCTAAGCATGTAGTGAATGTATATTGGCTCGACTGCAGTTGACCATGGCCAACTATAATCAAACTCGTCCGGCATGTGTAAATTAAGGCCTCAAATTAGTTGCACGGTTCAACCGTGAGAGACAGAAATGCACGTTGTATGGTTCAACATGTTGACTGCTCAACGCCGGCAACATTGTTTAGCCGTGATGGGCGCTCAGGAGTCGGCACCACTTTCAAGACAGATGTCGCGTGCTTTCTGTTCGAGTCATTGTATGGCTTGGGCTTTGTCTATTTTAATGTCAACCCTCTTCATAAGGATGAGTACACGAAATTCAGCAACATGGTTCAACATGAGTATGATACTTTGTGCTGTTTTGTACGAAATGGGGAATACCTCTCTCTGATTGGCTGGCAGCCCCACTTTGTAGTCGCTGAACTGCTTAATATTGATGATCGCCAAGGGACTAATGGGCCGTGTTCAACCATGATAAGATGTTCAACATGTTGAACCCTGAACCATTAAAAACTTTTCAGCATGATGAACACTCGCGCAGCTCTTAGGCTTAGAGTCGGCTGCGTCGCCTCTAGAGACCTAAATAATAGCTGCTGCCGCCCTGAGATAACTGCTTCGATAGGCTACGTAGTTCGACCGCCGATTATCAATCGTAATCGGCATGGTTCAACACGTAGAAGTCCATCAGTGACATTGTTCAACCATGATGAACACTCCTGCTCTTAAAGGTCCAGTGTTCTGCATTTGACCGAGACAGTGTCCGCCAGCTTCCAGAAAGAATGGAAGCTCAAGGGACAAGAGTCTAACAAGTCCACTGAACCAAAGAACCCACAGTATGGTTCAGCATGAGCAAAGGGCCCAGTCCTCTATCTTGGGAGGAGTGGGTGCAGCACAGCTTCTCTGCACAAACCCGTCATGGAATGCTGGAGATTTGTCAATTTGGATAAGCAATGTGACTGATGATCTGGGTTTAATATGTTGAACAATTCCGGTTACCTTTAATCATTATTGCGGTTGAACTGCTTGGCTCTGGAATGTCGGGTCCTGAGTAGTCATTTCTCATGGAGCTATAGCAAATGTTAAGTGGGATTGGTAAGCAATCCGAGAATCGTATGGAACAGAAGTGCGTCCACTTTTACCGAAGAGCTACAGGTCAGGCTATGGTACTCGAGTTGGACTATACCGGCGTGGATCTTGAGTGCTTATTCATGGTTTACCCATACTGCTAGTTGGTAGATAACATTACAAGGAAATGGTTGATGGGTCTAGTGCAAACCCATACGAGGGCTCGAATTCCAAAGCATGAAACTTCCTCGTACGCAAGAACTAATGATGATGATGATGTTTGTTGAACCATGCCGCCTATCTGTGTTTATCACCGTTTATCACCGATGCTGCTGGTAGGCAGCCATCATCTCAGGAGCCAAGCGACCGCTTGTAGGCTCAGTGCAAGTTACCTTAAAATTTAAGAGCCTAGAGCGCGCAGGTTCTCTACTGTACGAAACCTGTCGCCGATGTTTCGAACCACAGCATATGGATTGATAATCTGTAACTCCCCGATCCCCGATGACGCCATCAATCCAGACGTACAAGTCGTCAGTCATGCCTGACTCATAGTGGAAACCAGGGCTGTGACTGCTACAGCAACCAGCGACTGGCTGACAGGGATAGTCCCCCTTATTTGGGGCGGCAAACTCCCACTGACACACAATGAGATTGGCCAGCAGCTTATCTACCCATGAAGTTTACCTAGGTCAAGGCCTTCAACGATATCGATTGACCGGGCGAATAGCAGTCTGATTGCTGAATGAAGGCACTTGTGCTGGTATCCTCTAGACCCGATGACGGACCGTACCACCCTGGCGATCTGAACCATAACACTCCGTGTTAGGAATCTGTAGTTTAAATTCGGAAACGCCATTCAGGCCTCGGCGAAAGCAAAGCATTTGACTGCATTGTGACAGTCCCATACATGATTGAGCCACATCAAAACCACGCCCCGTGGCTACCACTCGGTTATGACGTGCCTCATATCCTCAAAAGAATACAAAGGGCACGAACGCAGAAGGGTTGCTTCGATCAATTTGAAGGTACTGTAAAGTCTACTAAGGAGACTCCTGGCAAGATCACAGCTGCATTGAAGAACTGTGTGCCTTAGCAACAAATAAATAGCCGTTGCCCGGAACAAAAGCTTTAGACGATTTGATGGCGTGTCTTATACGGAAGTACGTAAATACTTGTAACGATGGGTGGTACGACGCACAGAGATGATTGCAAATTCGGTCGCCGTTGGTTTTTAAGTCGCAAATCATGTACATTGTTGTTGTCAATACAAAGGGCAGTGACACTGTGGGCGACGTCATGCTTCGTCCTTCAATGTCCTTATTATTTCCGGAGACCACATTGCTAAGTACCGGATTCTCAACTTCTTAGTGATCGCAGACTGCAGTGGTACTGTAAAAGGCGGTATAACTTCTGTTCATCCGGCGGCAGGAACATTAAGTGCTATGGATATTATGTACTGTACATAACTACACCCAGAGATACCAGAGGCATGGACCTGGAGTCATCCGAGGACGTTCAAACAACGGTGGATAGCTTTTCTGGTTACATTTCCCGGCTCCAAGCCTCTGTGCTAGAGATTCTGCGCTTGTTTGCTGCATACTGTACCGTTTTCTCAAATTCGCAGATTCACCAGTTTTCTTCTCTTTGACTTATTGCTATGGGGCCCAGCCTCATCAAAATTGCAACCCTACAACAGAGTTGATAGGACTTTGACTCGCCAGGACATAGCGACAGCGAATCAGACTGCCGTTGACCTCCATGATATGTTTCTTGCAGGGTCCGTAGTGACCAGGGATGATGTAATAGCGTCAGAAAAAGAGAGTCTGGCAGATCTTAGCTTCCTCATCCATCCATGTGTGGCGGACTGAGTAGTAATCCCCAGCACCACGAAGAGGTGCCTGCCAATCGCTGGGGGGGGAGCAGCTGGATACGACACGGGTGGCTCAGGGGCCGTGACGGAGCTGTGTACAACCACGGGTGGCTCAGGGCCGTGACGGAGCTGGATACAATCACGGGTGGCTCAGGG